GGCGTCCAGTAGGGCAGCCGAGGCCGACGAGATTCATCGTTTGTATTTTGAACCTGCGCCAGGGTCCGACGTTGCTTTTATCGATATCCGCATAGCTTCCCTGATTGCTGTCCAGTGGTCAATGAGTCTTCCGGTTGATGGTTGAGCTGAGAGGTAATCTGATAATTCCGCTTCAAAGGCCTATTTGCAACCATTGCTGCTGTATTGTGGGCATCTGTTTTCTGCGGTTGTTTGCTAGGCGCAAGGAGAATCTCGCTCGCAGCAGAGCATTATGATCCATGTGCGCCGGTGTTGAGCTGCAAGAGCGGAAATCTTCGATGGATCATCGCCAGCAGTGGCTGGTGGCGATGTGGTCGATTTGAATCAGGCGCTGTGAGGAAGTTGTCCGTCTCCAGGTGAGGCGGTATTGTTTCTTGTGCGAGACGTTTGTGCTTGACAGAAACAGTCCGTGGTCAAAGTTGGAGTAGCCGTTCTCCATTGTCTGTCCAGTTAGTTGTGATTGTATGTGAAACACCAGGTACCGTTTCCGATTCGTCCAGGGATCCCACTTCAGCATTGAAGTCTTCAGCGACTACTACGATCTCCGTTGACTGAGCACTTTGGAGCAGTAGAGAGAGGTCCTTGTAGAATTCATCTTTCATTTCTGACGAACTACATACGCGGAGACGACGAATAAGCATCAACGTTTCGTTCTGCAGCCGTTGATCCGTACTGAACCATCCAGAAGTGCAGCGTAGTCGGCTACTAACCGGGATCCAGTCGATAAGTGGACGCTCGGCCTTGACACTCAGCGCAATCCCGACACCAGTGACACCGCGAGCTTCGGATGCCGGATCGCCTGACTCACGGAGAGTGAAGCGTGAGGAAGAGGTTGGACCTGGAGAACGCCAGGAGCTGATTCAAGTACGGTCTTGTACGCGTGTTTCGGAGACAAAACATACATCTAAATTGAAAGTTTCAAGGGTTCTAGCTAAGAAAGCTTGTTAAGTGCGGCTAAGTGAAAAGGAAATTTTGGTTTTGAAAATCTGTAGGCTTCTGGTTCGTTGATCTCACTAGTTGAACTTGGAGTGATATACCGTGAGTGGAGCCAACAAGAGGTACCTCGTACGATTTGGGAGTGAGGAAACGAAGTGGACAGATGAGAAAGATGGCTTTCCAAATGGGTACCTAAGACTTTGGGGCACGACATACTTTGCGGTAGTCCACACCGATGAAAGGATTTTTCTTTGGCAACCCTGACCGGAGCCTTCGACTCAGAAGTATGATCCACAACCTAGTGGGGCGTACATCCAACGTGAAAATGTGACCGAAGCCCCCCATGTGAAAGCTTCTAGAGACCTGTCACGCAAGTTCTTAAGGTTTCGGTTAAGTATGTTGTTCGCTGGTGCGTTTGTTGACGGCCCGCTTTTCGGGATCAGCCCTTAGCCTCATGCACCCAATGAGACAAGCGGAACATGGACGGGACAGCACCTTATTGGCTGGGGGCTGCCCAGCTTGCGCTGGCGGTAGCTGTTCAATGAAGTGCGAAGACTTCTCCCACCGTCGAGAGGAAGCCCCAGGTACCCCGCTACGTCGATCTAGCAGGGGATTTTTGACCGATAAACTGCCGCTCCTTATACTTTTTTCGCTGGAGCGACCTCTCCAGAGGCGGGAGTGAATAGTCAAATGAAGCCAGGAGATGCTCAAGTAGCTGGCCTTACGAGACTGATCTTCGTCTGGCCTCTACCCGTTGACCTTTCAGTCATGATTGGATCTGCGGCTGTGAGAAGCCATCCTGTATAGCTCGCAAGGTCATGGGGGAATGCAAGGCATCACAGCACGTCATGGTGCAGTCTGGTGGTGATGACCCTGCGAAACATGTATGGTTTAAAACAGAAATGAGGACTGTCCAAATGACTAGGTTGCACAAAGTTAGTCATGCAACCGGATGGTGAGGTTCGATGACCTGAAAGAATAAACTCACCGGATGGTGTTGTGTTATTGTTCGTTTTCTCACGAATCCATAGTCTCAAATCGGCCTTGCTCATCGCTCCCACTTTGACGTCCAGAGCACGCCCATTGGGAGCAATCAGGTAAACACAAGGCACGGTAAGTACCGCATACACCGCGGAGAACTGAGCTGTGGCTTCTGAAGAAGCATCCAGACGAAGAGCTATTATGGACGACACGAAGAGCAGAGCAGGGATAAATAAAAGTGAGCATATTGACAGTGATGGTAGGAAGAACAACAAATGAAGGAAGGCTCGTACAGTAGTGCTCTAGTGTCTAAAACGTCACCAGAGTAGAAAAAAGTTTGCACAATCATCGTCATTCGTGTACAGCGAAATACAGCGAAGCCAAACACTATCAAGCTTAAATGTATAAAAAGATCAAGTACGAACATGTAGGGTAGATGGAAAGTATGCTTTTTGAGAGATAAAGAAAACAAACCGTCAGGGTTAACACACACACACACATACAGTCTAACGGTTTGATACTGAATAAAGACAAAAAACGCCACTGCTTTCGGTTTGTTGCTGTGTGCTTGATTTACTTCTGTATCCCAAAAAAGTAAGGAAAAGAATAGAGAGTGACACGTACTCTGGTTACTATGTCCGTATTATCTGTTGATCAGGAAGTACTTTGCTCCACGCAAGACAGGCAATCGAAAACAGAGCGCCGTTCGGTGGACCGCTGCTAGGGATGCGCAACATGTGCCAACATGTAACAGCAGGTCCTTGTGACTATGGGGTTCGCCCCGTCTGCTATTCATCAAGCTTAGGTGCGTAATAAAACAATTTGGTGTCACAAAGTATTTTTCACCGAGGTGCAAGGTGAATGGCCCGGATGTTGCCAACTCATATTCTCTCGATCCACTCCCACCGACAGACTGTCCGTGTGTCCTGATAAAGCGCCCCCCCCACCTCTCTAAAAGTTGATTATAATTTGTATATTTCTAATGTCAAAATAGCACAGCTCTATGCAGTCGAGTGCGTCCCCGGGTCGCCGATAAGGAAAAGACCACCGATTCGCTGTTAAACATGAATAAGGTAGGTTTAGGCTAACTGAAGAAATGGTCAAGGACGATCAACAGTGTTTGAGAAAGTGAGGGATTTACTACAAGGTGAGCATCTTCCACCAATCACACCAAAAATGTCTACGGAAAGCGCTGTAAAGTGGTGAACAAGGCTCGCAACTAAATATGACCATTGTCATCTGTCGAGTTCCACTTTCTCGACAAAGTCTTCTCCAGTAAATGAAAAATGCCACTTCAGCACTGAAAACAAAGTCCGGTAGGCAAAACAGGCTGTTCGATGGATTCATTAACTAGCCATTGCAATCATCTAGAGTTATTCGGGTTCGTCGACCTGGTTTTAATTACATCAACCTAAGTACAGAAAGTATG